CAATAAACAAAAATAAAACCTATTTGGCAAAGTTTTTTGTTTTTTAAATATATTGTATCTTAATGAACAGCAAATACAAAAAATCATGTTCGATACAAATGACACTGAAAAATCTAACTATGTCCATATTACAGCAAGAGAAAATTACTAGCTTGCTAATGTAGCATAATCTTCAATTATTTCAACACTATATTCGTATGCAACTGATTAGATCAGTTCATTTACAAAGTTATCTTAGATCTGAAAATTCCTGCGTCGCTTTTGTAGAAACTTCGTCATGATAGTTCATTTATGAAATTGTAGTATAGAACGCATAATATAGAAAGTTATACTACCTATATAAATCGTTATCTGAATTCGAGCTAGACGCTTAACAATCTGCTAAATGTTCATTAAAATTTTAGTTATTAGGTAAACTTTGATGGTAAATTAAAGTAGACACATTGGGACATAATGATATTTGAAAATATTCTGTTGGGATTAAAAATGGTTTCATTCATCAAATGATATATGAATTATAGATGTATGAATGAAAGATGTTTTTTCATCAATTGCATAAACATTTAATTGTATTTGATTGGTATTTTTTTTATTAAATCAAACGAATTATTTTATAATTTATATTATATTCAATTAAATTAATCAGAAGCAAATTCTTAATACAATCATTTCCTAGTATTTAGTCTTGAAATAAAATTTAAAGCTAAATTATCAATATGCATGTTTTGCTTTTAAGATTTTTTCTAATTTAATATAAACTTTTTTACTTCATATTAATTTATTTTTATAAATTTCAAACTTACTTGATTGTTTAATTGATATTTTCTCAATTTTAATGATTGATGATGTAGTTCAATAACTTCGAATAGAATTTTCTAATGGGTGTGAGTGTGGGTGTGAAAATTTTTTTACAATTACATACCCACACCTTCCGTATCAAAAAAAAAATTCTTTTTCAGTTTCCAAACAAAAATATTCTTTAACTACAACAATTGTTCTGATTATCAAGGACTAAAATTGTCGTAATTTTCCACTATTGTTTTATTAAAACTAGGTTTTATATTCTCAGGAAAATGAAATGAGGTCAAGCTCAATGACTGTTACGACTAACTAATTGTTCACCACTTTCATTTTATAACTCATCGATGTTTTTTATATAGTAGAGCAGAAATGCTTGGAGAAATATACGAGCAACTCTATCTATTTAGCAACCTTTTATTGAAGAATGAAAGATGTTGACGGTATTAAGTTTTTATTTGGAAGAGACATTAAAGTCATGAAGGTCTTTTCTCATTTGGTAATAGAAAATAGCTTAATTTTGGTGTGGAAGTTAAAAGTATATCTATTATAGTGGTGGCGAATTTTCTCTTCATGGATAGAAACTTGAAGTCTATCTCTTATTAGAAAGAAACTAACTCCTTTAGATAAGCATCACGGACACAATTTAATTCATTTCTTATTATTATTTATGATGACAATCTATTGATTTAATGAATAAATAAAGAAAAGGATGAATGATGATCGCTTCTCAATCACAATACATACGAGACAAAAAAAACAAAGAAATTAAGAATGGTGTGTGTCTGGGTCTGAGATGCGAATGTGCAACTACGTGTTGGTGAATAATTACGACAGCAGCATCAAGAGCCAAACCCACACCGATACACACACTCTGTAATAGTTTTGACGAGACGCTCGATTAAGTCAATAGTATGTTCAAGATAGTTCTTCTTCAATCCATGATGAATATATAAGAAAATAGAACAAATTGCTTTTTCAAACAACTTGCTCACATATTACTGTCGTTTCACTATGTATTAGCTGCTCCATAATCGGAGCAATATAAATTGAATATAAACCGCCTGGCTCACGGGAATCACGATAAGAAGGACAAGTAAATGAGATTTGATGTGCTTTTGATGGCTTAATTATCACATTGTTCAAAGCAGTATCATAGTCACAAGCTGTTCCAGTATTTAACACAACGGAACTTTCACATAGGCGTACTACATATGAAATGAGCTGCGGATCTGCTACTGTTGCTTGCAGTGAGCACACTAATTTTGTCTTTCTTCCCGGTGTACATGCGTTGGTCGCTGATTGCAACGTGAAGCCACAGTTTCTCTGCGATCCAATATGCTGTCCAGATGGAAGACAAGGGCCCTAAGGAAAGATAATATTAGACAATAAAATGTATTAGTTATTATTGAGGCAATGCGTTTTGACCAATGATTCTATCATCTAACCAGAAGAGATGAATAGCGGACGTAATACAGTGTATGCTGGACTTCTAGTAAAACTTACAATACATAGTACTTCGCTAAATTGTGAACTTATTCATGCTGGTCTATAGACATTCATCTGTCGCTTATTTATATATTAATTTTATTCTGAATCATAGTATACCGATATATTCGAAGGAAAGTATCACTAATAAAGAATCATGCAGTGCAACATCTCGAAATAGTCAAAATTTCGGATGCAAATGAAAACAAATGCTACTGAAGGAGAGCTTCCATAGTGTTGATTTCTCTTCAGAATAGGAGTCCTTGCAAAAGATGTTGAGATGTCTACCACAGTTTCTGGATAAATCTGAGATCCAATCATTTTTCTCATTGCATGTATCAAGATCGGGTTTAATATGGCTTTTAGAGGCGAGGACATAGTTGGAAAAAACAATGACCAACCTCATAAGACCTCTATAATCCTTTTGAAAAAGACAATTGAAATTTTTCCAAGATGATGAACGTTTTGAAAATCTAATAACTGATGATGAGATAGTTACTTGAGCACCGCTTTAGAAGCTGTTTCTTATGTTATACGTAACATGATGAAGAACGTTCTGTGATGAAGAAAGTCTTACTCCATACGTACCGTTACATATCCGTTACCGTCTGTTGGTACAGTTACATTAATTTGGTGAAAGTTATTTGCTAAGGTGGATGGATTCGTACCAGTCACGCATTTCTGCTTGAAAACTGTTCCACCATTCACATCAGTAAAATTCGTTGGCTCCCAAATAAAGTCTCCTTGTGCGTCCAAGACTAGTTGTCCTTCACAAAGCATGTTA